ATGCCCCTACTCAGACGAGGCATTCGAGAGAAGGAGAGAGAGAGAGAGGGGAGGCGTCCACCAATTCATCCGCTAGAGCACAGCGCAGGCAAGCCCTGAGCGGCACCCGAGCCAGATTGCAGCGGACGCCCCGACTTGCAGCTTGGGGCCCAGACCCTCTTGGCGGCGCGGGTGGACAGAACCCCCACCCTGACACGTCGATTCGTGAATTGGCCGTTTTCGGTGTTCTCGAGAGGGCGCCGCGGCCGTCATTTTGCAGGCTTGCGCCCGCTTGGTCTGGGCTCGAGGTCGTTTCCACTGGACCACGTTTTGCTAAAGGGGGGTTCTGTCCATCCCCGGTTGGCGGCGCGGAAGAAAACCGCCAGATTTGCTTTTCCCAACCATCCTGTGGTGTTGGGTCCTCGTTTTGAAGAGACAGCGCCCCGCGTCTCCTTCCTTCCTTCCTTCCTCCTCCCCCTCCCTCCTCCCCACCCCCCCTCCCAGCGCAGCACTTCGTAGCCCCATAGGGAGCTCCACCGAAGGCCCCGGTGGGGGTGCCCGCATGCGGTTCCCCCACCCAGTGCAGCGTTTCGTGGCCCCATAGGGAGTTCCACCGAAGGCCCCAGTGGGGGTGCCCCCATGCCGCTCCCCCACCCAGGGCAGCGCTTCGTGGCCCCATAGGGAGCTCCACCGAAGGCCCCAGGGCAGCGCTTCGTGGCCCCATAGGGCGCTCCACCGAAGGCCCCAGTGGGGGGGGTCGCATGCGGTTCCCCCACCCAGCGCAGCGTCCCCCACCCAGCGCAGCGTTTCGTGGCCCCATAAGGAGCTCCACCGTAGGCACCAGTGGGGGTGCCCGCATGCGGTTCCCCCACCCGGTGCAGCGCTTCGTGGCCCCATAGGGAGCTCCACCGAAGGCCCCAGTGGGGGGGGGGTCGCATGCGGTTCCCCCGCCCAGGGCAGCGTTTCGTGGCCCCACAGGAAGCTCCACCGAAGGCCCCAGTGGGGGTGCCCGCATGCGGAGCTCCCTATGGGGACACGAAACGCGGCCTCGGGTGGAGGAATCGCATGCGAACCCCCCACTGGGGCCATCGGCGGAGCTCCCTATGGGGACACGAAACGTGAGAGAGGTGTGCCGAGAGCAGAGGCAAGGAGGCTGATGAGAGGAGGAGGGAGGGGGCAGCGGGAGGAGGAGGAGTGAACGCGGGGCGCTGTCTCTTCAAAGCGAGGACCCAACACCACAGGATGGTTGGGAAAAATAGTCTGGGGACTATTTTCTTGAGCATTTGCTCACTATCTTGGCGTATCTTCTGGCTATGTTTCTAGTTTTCGTCCCCCTGTTCGGGGGCGTTAAGTCGGGGGCGTCCCCCTGTTAGGGGGACGCGCCCGACTTAAGCCTGGGCGTTTCCTTCGCTGGGTCTGCGGACCGTCAAAGCTCAGCAGAGGACGAGGCGCGCACCCCGGGGGGGGGGGGGGGGGCGGGCGGCACGCGCTCCGGGGGGACTTGGCGGCTCGAACTGAGCGAGCTGCCGCGGTGCCGGGAAGGACGGGCAGCACCAAGTCGAGCCTGGCCCTCTACAGGGGGAATATTACAAAATAGTCAAACAAAATAGTCTGAGGACTGGTGGGGATTATTTTTGAGTTTTTTTTCCGGGCATCTTCTGGGCATTTTGTTGGGGTATTTTTTGGGTCCAAAATCCCCTTGTAAGGAGACAGGCCCGACCTAAGGGTAGCAGTGCTGTGGGCAGTCATGTCTCCCATGGCCGAAACGATTGCATCTTATGACGCCGGCTCGACGGCAGCGAGGAGGGGGAGAGGAGAGAAGAGCAGCGAAGGGTTCGTCCAGCACCGCATGGTCTGCCAGAGTTCCATGGGAGGGCCACCAGAGGATCTGAAATATGGACGTCAGAATCAAAAGGCAGGGGCAAGGAACCGTGGATTTAACTTAATCCCCGGCAGGAGTGGTGGACGACTCTGAGGGTTGAGAGCAGGGGAAGTTAGAACACGTATCCTTGATTCTATGATCACCCCTATCCCAGAGCTTCAGAAGCGGCCCGGCAGACGGTTTTGCGGTTGAAGGTTCTTTGGAGGGAGGTTACTAAGCACATTGTGGCATCATGTTGTACAGACGGCAGCCATCGTTTGGGCAATGGCTGCGCTATTTGGTAGGCAAATACTTCTATCATTCCGCCCCCCAGGCCCTAAATCTGCGACGCCGTATGTTTGTCACGACGCGGGCCCCAGAGCCTTCGGCACCATCCCTGTAGGACAAGTTTTTCACCGGCGATCGTTTTCTGATTCTCCTGGGGCCCGAGTCGGGCCCCCAGACACCGAAACCGCACATCAGTGCGCCGTTGTGTTTTGTCTCGGGGGCGCTCGCAGGTGTTGACAGAGGCGAGAGAGCACGTTTCGTGGACGCCTGCTTGGAGCAAAAAACTCTGGACACGTCGAAGCCGAGGGGGAGAAGAGGAGGAGGAGGAGGAGGAGGAGGAGAAGGAAGATCGAGGAGGAGGAGGAGGTGGACAAGGAGAGGCAGGAGGGAGGAGGAGGAGGAGGAGGAGGAGGAGACAGATGATGAAGAGGAGGAGTAAGGAGGAGGGAGAAAGATCGAGGAGTTGGAGGAGGAGGATCGAGGATCGAGGATCGAGGATGGGGGCGGAACACCCGAAGCGCCCGGAGAGCCATGGGAGGGGGGCGGACGCCGGCCTCTCTAACCGAGCCCCCCCCCGTTCCAGGGGGCGAAGGGGGGGGGGTCGAACCGGAGAGGGGGAGGGGCCTTGTCCGAGGGAGGTCGAACCGGAGGGGGGGGGGTCGAACCAGAGGGGGGGAGGGGGGGTTCGCACGGGCCCCCAGCCCCCGCTTTTCCCCCCAGTAGAATCGTAGTATGAAGTCGGGCTTGTCCCCCATACAGAGGGATTTTCGACGAAAAGTAAGAAATACCCCAAAAATAGTCTGGTGATTATGTTTGGACTATGTTTTGGCCTTTCTGGTGTACTTTTGGGGTGTATTTTTTCGTCGAAAATCCGCCTGTAGGGGGACACGCCCGACACAATCGTAGTAGGGCTCAATCAAGCTCAAATGGAATCCTAATAGGGTACTCTCCGGTTCCAGTAGAACCCCAATAAAGTTGGACCCAGCTCTTATAGAATCCAACTAGACCTCGATCTAACAGCATCTTAACCAGGCTCGATGCAGCTCTAACGGGATCTCAGCGTAGCTGGATCCACTTCCAAGTAAATCCTACTGAGGCTCGATTCAGCCCAAATGAGATTTTAGTATAGCTGGATCCAGCTCTAATGGAATCCTGCTCGATCTAGCTCAATTTACAGAATATGATTGGAGCTTATCAGCATTCTGCTAAGGCTCGATCCTCGTCGTCGTCGTCTTCGTCTTCGTCGTCGTCACCGCCCGACGGCGCCGGCGCCGGCGCTGGCGCTCGCCGTTGTCGGTTGCCGTTGGGGATGGAGGGGGAGGGGGGGGGGCCGGTTCGAACACCCTCCCCCGTGCAATGCAGGCGAGAGCCCCCCCCCACCTGTTCGAGCGGCCCCCCTCAAGGGAGGGGGGATGGCTAGGTTCGGACACCCCACCTCCCTGCAATCATTCAGGGGGGGGTTGCGGGTGCGGGTCAGATCAGAGCGTGAATTACCTACCCCGCTTTCGCTTCCAGGCAAAACCAAGTCATACCACGCGCCTCCTCGTCAAGCGGCCTGACCAGTACAGGCCGTAGTTTGGCATCGTTTGGTATCTCTTGGAAGCGAGGGTGGTCAAAAGCGAGGTAGGTTTGTATTCCCCCTAAGAACCCCCCCCTCCCAACGTCCACAGCGGACGCTCTCAGGTCTTAGCCTGCTGGCTCCCTGGAGTTACAACGTCCTGCGCCCCTGGCGCTGCCTGCCCCACCGCACTCCGCGCTTCTGCACGGGCGCGGCCGCAATCTCCAGACCTCCCAAAAATGGATGAGGTTGATGAGGTCGGAGGACCGCGTCGCATCGCCGGTGCACCAGCGATGCGGTTCAACGTGGGGCCCGATTTTCTTCGCGCCAGCGTCGCCGATGCACCGCCGACGTCGCCGATGCATCGGCGACTCATCGGCGATGCGATCCGACCCTCCGATGCCATCTATTCCAACCCACCTTGGGAGGGTTCCACACTCCCGCGGGGCCAGTTCGGGAAGAACTCAAATCTGTGAAGGATCCAAGCGCGCGTATATCATATCCGTGTATAGGCTTCTGCCAACTCGAAAAGTCAAGCGATGTTTTTTTATGAATTGCCAGCTTCCCAGAAACAGCCAGTTTCTGAAAGCAGCTTCCGGTGCATCAGACCCAAAATAACAACGACTTTGGATGATGCGAAGCCAGTCCCAGGGTAGTGGTCGGTCGAGAGTTCGGGGGGCAGGTGATTTGAAACAACCGAGGCGTTGGAGATTCGGGCTGGTGTCTTCTCATGATCACCCCCGCTCATGCACTCCTTCAGAACTGGATGTTGAACTTAACTTTAAACTTGTCATATAGACAGACCTGTAAATGTAGCGTAGGTTCCTCCTTACCATAAGGTAGTTGCCTCATCGGGCCCATCCTCCTGCTGCTGTTGCCCCTCTTATCTCGTGGAGGAGAGATGCGGGTGGTTGGCGGATGGATGACGGATGACCAGTTGAAGGAGGAGGTCGGGATCATCGCCGCCCACTAGGTTAAGGCTCTTGACAGCTAGAACCACCACTTTCCATGTCTTCATCGCACACGAAGCACTCTGCAACCAACACGCTTCAGAGAACGAGGTGCGCTACATGTGTCGGCCCACGGAGATTTCAAATAATGGGGCAAGGTGGTGGGTAAGGGTTTTCCACCTGCCCGGTTGTAAAGAGGCCTTCCCCGGTTGACAAGTGGCCCTCTGGGAAAGCCCATGCTGGTTAGAAAGTGCTTTATTTGGTTGTAATGTGGTTGTTCTCGTTCTCAAGCGACCCCAGCACATCACCCCCCCGTCCCCGTCTCCTCCTCCTCCACCTCCACAGAGCGGCTCCGCGCCCTCAGTCGGAGAGCGCCGGCACTGGCGCGCGCTCACGTCCATGAGCACCTGCAAGTACGAGGCGCTGGACCCGTCGCTCTCCGCCATCGTCCTGGAGATCAGCTGCCCGGTCGACAGGCGAGGAGAGCGCGCGCCCCAGCGAGCGACATGGGTACGGCGCGATCGACAGGGATACGGTTAAGTCGGGCACGCCCCTCTACAGGAGAAGTATGCAAAGATAGTAAATAAAAAAGTCTGGGGACGATTATTTGACTATGTTTGACTATTTTGGAACATGTTGCCTATAGGAGGACACGCCCGACCTAAGGATACGGAACGACTGGGGACGAAGGCCGACATCAATGCCTGCCCGTTTTGAACAGGACTCGCCGTCGACGTCGCCACAGGCGTTGTCCGTCTGAGACATGAAGTCGCCCGCCCAACAGCGGCCGCTGAAGGTTCGGGGCCACATGTGCTGCTGGGCATCGTGCCAATCTTGTCCGCAACACTTCCGGGCGTGCCGGCAGGAGGAATGGAGGACCTCGGCCCCGGGCGTGGCGACACAGTCACGACGGAATGCTCGGGCCGCAGACCCCGCAACCAACTGCCCGCGCCGACAGCTTGTCCCGGGATGACACCGAGAGGTCCAGTCCAGTCCTCCTCCTCCTCCTCCTCCTCCTCCTTCTCCTTCTCCTCCTCCTCCTCCTCCTCCTCCTCCTCCTCCTCCGCCCACTTCGCGAAAGCAGTATGCACGAGGTGGAGAGGAGGAGCCCTTTCCCGAGCGCTCCTGGAGCGGCAGCTCCCTGCGCGCGCCCGCGCCTGGCGGAGAGGCCCGGCCGGCGCCTGGCTCCGCCTCTGCCGCCTGGCCGGGGCGGGGCGGCCGGGCAAGCTTCTGTCAGGAGGGGAAAACACACACAGACACAACGAATCGTCGACTCCCCCGAAGATATGGGAAACTAGGGGACGTGGGGGGGGGGGGGAAGGCGAAAACCCAGAAAATATGGGCAAATATGGGGAATCTTGTGATTCGTGTGTATTAATATTTGTGTGTCCCTGGGCCTCTTCATTCTGCCCCCCCCCCCCCCCCCCGCGGGGGGGGTGGCGGCACCCCGCGCCCAGGAGGAGGCCGGCGCCTGCCCTCTCTCCGGGGCAGCCTGCGGGGGGGGAGCGGGCTCCGGGGGGGCGCATCGGCCCCCTTGCCCATCGCCCACTGATCTCGGGGGCAGAAAAGACCCAGACCCCCTCGAGTAATGAAAAAATCATGACGGGATGTTTTTCCTAATTTTCGGCCTCCGGGGGCCCTCACCGGGCCTCGGGAGCGTCAAAAAACGATTCGGGATGAAAAACCGGTCATGGGGAAAGGGTCTGGACCTTTGGGGGTCGCGTCATGAAAAAATCATGACGTCGGGGGTCTGGGAAGAGGGGGGTGATGACTAGGGGGGGTGGATGTCATGGCGCGGGCCATGATATCTCCCAGGATTTTCATTACGTCCCAGGCCCCCCCCCCCTGGGCCGCGCACATGCCGCGGGCCATAATTTGCGCCCCCCCTCCTTGGAGACCCCCCTCTTGGCCGCCCCCGATCTACGGGAGGAAGATTCCAGCACTGTCAGGAAAAACAGTCCGGGGACGATTCTTCGACTACGTTTGGCTCTTAGAGGGGGTCTGTTTGGACGACGCTCTTTTTTTTTCAGAGCGTGAATTACCTACCCCACTTTCGCTTCCAGGCAAAACCAAGTCATACCGCGCGCCTCCTCGTCAAGCGGCCTGACCAGCACAGGCCGCAGTTTGGCATCGCTTGGCATCTCTTGGAAGCGCGGGTGGTCAGAAGCGAGGTAGGTTTGCTTGCCCCCTATTTCTGTCGTCGCAGATCCGCTCGTGGGAGGACCTGCCCGACCTGAGCAGAGGGGCCGGGGCGCGGGCGCCTCCTCGTGTGTGCGCGGAGGAGGAGGAGGAGGAGGAGGAGGAGGAGGAGGAGGAGGAGGAGGAGCCAGTCCTCGGTCCCCCGGCGCGCGCCCGCGCCCGCCGCCCGCGACAGGCGCTCCGCGCGGCGGGGAGGACAGCGATCGATGTTACTGTGATCGTTCTCGCCTGTTGTCGTTGGTATCGTTGTCGTTGTTATCGTTATCGTTGGTATCGCTATCGTTGCCGTTGTTCTCGCCAGTGTTGTGATCGCTGTTGCTATCGCTGTCGTGGTGGAGGATGGAGGACGGCTTCCGCCCTCCAGGTTGGTGCCCCGTCGCTCTTCCCCCCCCCCCCCTCACCCCTCCCACTTCGTGCCTTCGTTCGTCCTCATCTGTCCAGCCTTCTCCGTCCTTCGTCGTTCCTGGCTTGTCCTTCCTCCATCGTTTCGCAAGGAGCCATGTGCATGTGTCTGGCTAGAAACTAGGCGCGCGAAGCGCCCGCGTGATTCTAGTGATCGTGCTCCTGCTCCCTTCTCATCCCTCCTCCTCCCTCCTCCCCCTCCTTCTCCCTCCTCACATGTCGCATCCCTCCTCATGGTCGAGCTTGCCTTTCCGCAGTGCCGACCTCGTCAGGCGAGTGTCCATTTTGACAACGAAAATCCTTGCAGCCTGCCTGCAAGCGTCTTCCCATCAGTGCGCTCTGGCTTCCTGGTCCAGAGTTTCGAGTCCAAGCGCCGCACACACTGTATCTTTACCAAACAACCGATGTACAGAACTATTTCTGGGACGACTCTTGGGCGTACTGCGCAGTCTTCGTCATCACGAACCACTTGACCTGGCGCCGCCAGTTGTATCACAACCCCGAAGATTCGTCTGGCTGTTGACGCCGCTGACGGTCACCGACCAGCCAGCCACGAGCAAACAGACCTCAAGAACTGACCCACCCGTGTACATGCGCGAATTTGGCGAGATAATGAGCCCTCTGGTCGGCTGGTCAATCTGTACAACGTGGGCGCCTCCCCGGTCTGGCCAAGACCGCTGCATGCAGCGGCGGCTGGGGTTTGCGAACTCGCCTCTGCAGCGCAGCTCCTCTTGCCTTGGCACCGCTCAGACGTGTGCATTTTGTTTCGGCGAGAACCATCGAGGAGCATCCTGGAGCATCCGGGGGAACACACACACACACACACGCACAAGGCCGAGACAGGCAACGGGGAATGGACGGCCGAGCGATGGCAGAGCTGCCTGCCGTCGAGGGGGCCCGCGCACGCCCCGCCGCTGGCCTCGCCTCGCCGCCCTGGTGCCCCCCGCCTCCCACCCGCACGCCCAGATCTACCCCGAGCCTATCCCCTCCTGGGGAGGAGGGGCAGGAGGAGGAGGAGGAGGAGGAGGAAGAGAGGAGGAGGAGGAGGAGGAGGAGGAGGAGGAGGAGGAGGAGGAGGAGGAGGAGCAGGAGGAGGAGGAGGAGGAGGAGGGAGGAAGAGGAGGAGGAGGAGGAGGAGGAGGAGGAGCAGGTGGGCCTGTGGGGCCGGACCCCGTCCTGCGCAAAGCAAGACCTCGGAGGCTCGGGCCTGCGCGGGACACTTTCTCGGCGCAGTTTGTGCCACAGCGACGGCGAGTGCGACAGTTGGGCCCGCGCCCGTGCGCGCTGGCGGCCGTGGCTTTGAGGTCCTTCGAGTCTTGCAGCGGGCCAGGCCCAGTGAGGGAGTGCGACAGAGCAAGCTGTGCAGCGGCGCCCAGCAGACCAGACCAGACCATCCCTGTCGAGGAGCTCGTCTCGTTAGACCTCACGCCAGAGTACTGCTTGCACTAAACTGCAAAACATGCCTGGATATCGCTTGCGGCCGTACCACTGCGGTTGAAGTGGACGACTTGGAAAGGATGATTATTCGCGGCGCCATGGCAGGGGCATCAGAGCCTCCTCCTGGGGAAGCGAGCGAAGGGCTTCGCCCCAGCAGGAAGCTCGGCGCCGTCTGGGATGGGCGGGCCCGGGGCCCGGCCCGCCCGCGGTGTCTCTGGGCCTTCCCGGAGGCGCAGCAGAGCCTGTGTCGAGTCAGCCTCGTCTTCCTCTTTCTCCTCGCCGTGTTCGTGTTCCTCCTCCTAAGGGCAGCACGGCCTGAGGTGGCCGCCCCAGGTTGCCCCACGATGCCGCCTCGCGCCAAGAGCTGGGGGCCGATTGGGCCCCCAAGTGCGTCCCAGCGCGGCGCGCGGCTACTCTCGGAGCTCCTCCGTGGGGCCGAAGCGGTCCAGGGACGCGACCAGCGAGGGCCCCCGGCGTCCGAAATCGGTCAAGAATTCCCCATCGTGATTTTCTAACGACGCCAACTCGTCTTCGGCTTCACCCCAACATACTAACACTGTGTGTGCGTCGGCCCTCCAGGGAGACGCGCGCGCGCCGATACATCTTGTAAGATAAGCTCTGTGGCGGGCGTTTCCTGGTCACACCGCTCGGGAAGCGATTCACCACAAGATGCTTGTACTGTATGTTCGGGTCGGACGCGCGCCTTCGGGGAGGACACATGATACTAGCACATCCTACGCTTTTTCTGTGTCCTGCCACTCGGGCCTCGTCCTGATCTATTTTGTCTGGGCTTCAGGTGCGTGGCGGAATCCGCGTTTCGGCGATGTGGGATGTATATATATATATATATATGTATATGCATATCGAATTATATGTATATATAACTTAATGTGAAAGAGCGTGTTCTACCGCTGCTGGCGGACAACCGGGGGGTCACTGGGGGTTCCCAACCTGTCCCCCCCCCACACCCCCCTCGAAAACCGGGGGGGTCACTACCGGTTCGAACCCCCCCCCTCCCCCCTCCCAGTCCATCATGAAAAGGGCGGGGGTTCACTACCGCTTCGAGCCCCTCCCCCCCCCTCGCCGCCCGGCAAACGATTCCCGCACCTCGGGACAGTTGGACAATGGTGGGGATATTGGGACAGTGGTGGGAACGGTGGTGGTGGGGACAGTGGTGCGGGGACAGTGGGACAGTGCTGCGGACAGTGGTGGGGACGGTGGTGGTGGGGACAGTGGTGAGGGGACAGCGAGACAGTGGTGGGGACAGTGGGACAGTGGTGGGGACGGTGGTGGGGACAGTGGTGAAGGCGGTGGTGAGGACAGCGGTGGGACAGTAGTACACTGGGGAGAGTGGGGGGGACAGAGGGGACAGTGGTGGGGACAGTGGGGACGGTGGGACAGCACAGTGGGACAGCGAGCGGCGGGGACAGTGGGACAGTGGTGGGTGCAGTGGGACAGTGGGACTGGAGGGGACCATGGGGAAAGTGGAGGGAGTGGGACCGTGGTGGGACAATGGTGGGGAGAGTGGGGACAGTGAGACAATGGTGGGGGCACTGGTGGGGACAGCGGGGACAATGGTGGGAACAGTGGGGACGGTGGGACACTGGTGGGGACTGTGGGGCAGTGGTGGGGACGGTGGTGATAGGGACAGTGGTGTGGGGACAGTGGGAATGTGGTGGGGACAGTGGGACAGTGGTGGGGACAGTGGTGAGGGCGGTGGCGTGGACGGCAGCGGGACAATGGGACAGAGGTACAATGGAGACTGTGGTGGGGACAGTGGCGGGAACAGTGGGACAGCTCATTGGGACAGCGGCGGGGACAGTGGGATAGTGGGGACAGTGGGACGGTGGTTGGGGCCGTGGGAGAATGGGGAAAGTTGGACCATGGTGGCAACACTGGTGGGGGCAGTGGGAACAGTGCGACAGTGGTGGGGGCACTGGTGGGGACAGTGGGGACGGTGGTGGGAACAGTGGGGACAGTGGTGGTGAGGACAGTGGTGCTGGGGACAACAGGTGGGAGATGTGGCGCGGACGGTGGTAGGGACCCGGGAGTCGTCTGCCGGCGGTGGGCGTGGAGGGGGGGGGAGGGGTTCAAACCGGTAGTGACCCCCGCCTGTTTTCTGGAGGGGGGGGCGTTCGAACCGGTAGTGACACCCCCTCCCGGTTTTCTGGAGGGGAGGGTTCGAACCAGTAGTGACCCCTCCCGGTTTTCTGGGGGGGGATTCGAACTGGTAGTGAACCCCCCCGGTTTTCCGGAGGGGGGGAGGGGTTCGAACCTGTAGTGACCCCCCCCCCGGTTTTCCGGAGGAGGGGAAGGGGCTCGAACCAATAGTGACCCCCCCTGGTTTTCCGGAGGGGGGGGGGAAGGGTAGGGAGGGCAGGGGGTTTTGCCGGGGGAGGGGGGGGGGTGCGGAGGGGTCCAGCAGGGGGATAAGGGGGATTTTCGGAGAGGGGGTGGGGCGGACCCCCAGGCTATTGAGGAAGAGGGCGGAAATTTTCCGCAGTAAAGCGGCGGTGGATCACGTTCTCTCATTTGTGCATATATATATATATATATATAAAGGTGTGTAGACATCTAAATTTAATTATGAGTATCCCACTGCGTCGCAGGTCTGGATCCTCCCCTCAGGGGCAACGCTTGGGGGGGATACGCGTGGGGGGATGCATCGACCCCCAATCGCTCATGGTGACCTCTGATAAGTGCGGCCCGTTCGCCCCAACCTGCCCAGGAGCGTGCGGATTCACTAGCGGAGGCCTATCGCCCATCTATCGGCGATGCATCGCCGATTCCAGGTCGATGTTCCCCCCCCTATCGCTATCCCCCCACATCGCTGATCCTCCTCCCCCCCCCTCTCGCGGCGCGCATGCTCTCCGAGGTACCTGCCGCTCCGGCTGCCCCCCGCGCCCGACAGAGACGAGGAGGTGCTGGCCCCGCGGCTGCCGCCTGCCGCTCGGCACCGCCGCCCTCCCGGGCCAGGCCCCCCCTATATCTACGTGGCCGCCGGAGCGGAGGGAGCCCGGACCTCGGGCGCCGTGAGAGGGGGTTTCGGCGGGCGCCTCTGGGAGCTCGCCCGTGCCTGGAGCCAAGTCGGGGGTCGTCGAGAAGTAATCTGGGGACGATGTCTCGGCCATCTTTGATTTTCTAAAGGGGAAAAGTTGGACGACTTTGGACTCGTCTTCCAAACTCGGCCTGCAGGAGGACATGCCCGACCTCAGCCCAGACCTCAGGCGCCGTGAGAGGGGTTCTCGGGGGCGTCTCTGGCAGCACCCCTGCGCCGACAGTTATGATGTTCCAACCTACTTTAGCCTTGATCACCCACCAAGAAAGGTACCGAAACTGAAGGGTTTTCACGTGTCGGGCCCTGGGAGGCGATACTCGTTCGACACTGTTTCGATACTGTTCTGGGGGCTCGAAGTTGTTTTTGGGATTTGGTCTTCAAATACGATGGGAACAACATAACCCGAGAGGTAAAACAAACAACAATCAAAGAAAAACGATACGCACAAATTCTCGGAGCTCCGCGCGGATCTCTTGGATCGGCGCTGGGCCCCTCACCCTGGCGCGCGGGGAGCGCGCCCGGGGCTCACAGCGCCAATCCAAGAGATCCGCGCGGAGCTCCGAAGGTTTATCTTTGCATCGCTCGGACGTGTGCATGTTTCCCAGCGAGGCCATCGAGGAGCATCTTCGGGAGCCTTGAGTCGGGGGTCAATGCAAACGGGGGTCTGCCAGCGCGCCAGATCTTGCAGGATCCTGCAGAGCCAGGGTCGCATTGACCCGGGCTTGGGCGCAGGATCCTGCAGGATCCTGCAGGATGCTGCAGGATGCTGCAGGGCCGGAGTCGCATATTGACCCGTGTCTGGGTGCAGGATCTTGCAGGATCCTGCAGGATCCTGACCGACCCGGGTTTGGATCGACCCTGGTCAGCAGATCCCCGACATCTTGGACTTCTTGCGGACACGAGACGCACGACACCGAACAGTGCACGGGGAGAGGACGCCCGAGCGATGGTCTGGACGCCCGAGATGGGTACAGAAAGAATGGGTACAATGCCCAACAGCAGTTCCTGCTCATTTTGAACAGGATTCGCTGTCCACGCCGCCGCGGCCTGTGTCAATTCGAGACAGAAGGCCGCCTGCCCAACAGCGGCCGCTGTTGGTTTGGGACAACATTTGTTGTTGGGCATTGTACCCATTTTTTCAGTACCCATTTCGGACGCCCGCGCGATGGCGAGGTGTGGTGTCCCTGGCGCTCTCGTTGCTGCCGGTGCCCCCCCCCCCTGGCGGCGCGCCTCGGGCCTTCTCCGGGGGTCCTCCAGGGAGGAGCGGCCCCCGGCGCAGAGGCCCGCAGGTGGGGGGCAGGGCCTCAGGAGGAGAAAAAACACACAGACACAATGAATCGTCGACCCCCAGGAAAAGATGGGAAAGTAGGGGAAGTGGGGGGGGGAGACAGAAACCCAGAAAGTATATGGGAATATCTGGGGGGCATCCTTTTATTCGTGTGTATTGATTTGTGTGTCCCAGGGCCCCTTGATAGGGGCCCTCTCCGGGGGCCCTCCGGGGAGGAGCGGCCCCCGGCGGCGCAGAGGCCCGCAGGTGGGGGGGGCAGGGCCGCCCGTGGGCGGGCCGGTCCCTTGCTGTGCGGCTCTCCGGCGGGCGCCGCGATGCCGAGTCGGCGCGGCTCGCCGTGCAGGGCTCGGGCTCGCCTGCCCGTGGGAGTGGCCCTTGGCTTGTGTCGGGCGTGCCCCCCTACAGGGGGGATCTTCGAGGAAAAATAGCAAATACCCCCAAAAGACCCCAAAAAGGTAAAAAAAAAATAGTCCCCTGACTGTTTTTTGATCGTTGTTTGATTATTTTGGGGGTATTTTTGATTTTTCCTCGAAAATCCCCCTGGAGGGGAACAGGCCCGACTTAACCCTTCGCTGGAGTGACCCCTGGTGCGGGCCCGCCCCAGTCCCCCGATCGCCGAGCGCGGTGCGGTAGCAGCGTCTTGCGCGCTTGGGTCTGGTCCCCCCCCCGCGGCCCGCAAGAAGCCGCGCACCAGAGGTCACTCCTGCCCAGGGTCACTCCTGCGTGTTGCCGAATGACACAGGTCCTGAGGGGCACGAGTCCTGAGGTGCTTCGCCGTCTTCGGGTCCTCTGAGCCCTCCACGGGCCTCACACGACTGCCACCGCGCAACTCAGGATAGAGAGCTACGTACTCGGGGGGGAAGGCCCCAGGGTCCAGGACCCGTTTCCCTCAGGACACGTTTCTTTCATGATAGCTGATTTGGTCCGACCAACTTGGCGTACCAGGGCCAGCCCAGAGCAGGGCGCGGCGATTTGGTCTCGATTCGGTTCGGGACGATCCGCTGGCGACCCGATTCATCTCTATCCTGATCCGATCTCTCGCGATCTGATCCAGCTCGTCCGAGGCGGGGATCTATCCATAACCGCCGCCTGGGCGATCGTCGATCTTCGGGTACCTGGGCAGGCGGTGGCTATGGACATAGACTTCGGCCCCAGGGGCCCCCAAATATATCCGTTTCCACTGCTCCCCTGGGGTTCCAGGACGTCGGTTCCCCAGGCGGCGAATCTTTTTGGGCGGGGCTGGGTCGAGGATCAATCCGTTCCAGAGCGTTCCGGAACGCTCTCAGAGCGTTCCAGAACGCTCTGAGAATGCCGCGGCTATCCTCGTCCTGGACCGTCGCGACTCTCCGAAAGATCGAGAACGGACCGGTTCTGTTCCCCCCTGGGAAAAATTCACACACGAAATCGGAAGTCTCAGGCAGCTTGACATGGGGCCAGAGAATTTTTGCCGCGGAAGAAATCCGACAGCCGGCCCCGATCATCAGTAGGTCGACCCTGCCAAATCAAGGGTACTTTGGTGTCCTGTGTCTCGCGGCCCGTGCCTCCTGTATTCCTATGGCGATGTGACCCTCAGAAGAGTCTGGTGTCCCCTCGCGGGTCCTGTCCATGAAGTCCGACTGTAAGCCGAATCGCGATCTTCGTCCGGGTGTCGTCTTGGCGCAGGACTCGGCCTGGCAGACGGCGAGAGCTCTGGATCAAGCAGTGGAGAAGCGTCCTGGCGTGCCTATAGCCCTACCAAACAATCTTCTAAGAACCTTTTGTGGTTTCCACGACATTTTCTTAGAACATGTCTGGCGGGGGCCGTCTTGCTTGAACGCATCGGGCCTATGTTCCAAGAACAGCGCCTTTGTTATTAGAACATTGTTCAGGGCTCGTTTCGAATCCTCCGATTCGATTCGATTCGACTCCGATGGATTCCGATTCCGATTCGATTCGATTTCGGATTCCGATTTTGGCTCCGATTTCTTATTGGACACATACTAGCCTGCCGATTTCCGCCGATTCGACTTTTCCCGACTCGGCTGCCGATGTCTGCCGATCCGACTCATTTCGATCGCCGATCCGACTCATCGATTCGATTCTGGGCTCCCCTGATTGTTGGGTTCTAAGAACATTTCGTGGTAGGACTATAGTCAGAGCGTGAACTACCTACCCCGCTTTCGCTTCCAGGCAAAACCAAGTCATACCACGCGCCTCCTCGTCAAGCGGCCTGACCAGTACAGGCCGTGGTTTGGCATCGCTTGGCATCTCTTGGAAGCGAGGGTGGTCAAAAGCGAGGTAGGTTTGTTTGACCCCTATTTTTGTCGTCGCAGATCCGCTCGTGGGAGGACCTGCCCGACCTGAGCAGAGGGGCCGGGGCGCGGGCGCCTCCTCGTGTGTGCGAAGGGCCGGGACGGTCGGCCCCTGCTCCACGGGAGGCCCCCGCCGCCACGGCGGAGGTCTCTGGGTCGGGGCCCGGGCGCCTCGGGCGCACGCCCGGCCGTGCGGCGGCGGTGCCGGCGCCGGCTCGGGCCACGGCTGGCCTACGCGAGCCAGCAGGGGCCCTCAGGAGCCTCCTCCTCCTCCTCCTCCTCCTCTCATCCTCCTCCTCCTCCCCTCCTCCCCCTCCTCCTCCTCCTCCTCCTCCTCCTCCTCCTCTCCTCCTCCTCCTCTCCCCTCCTCCCTCCTCCCCTCCTCCCCTCCTCCCTCCCTCCTCCTCCCCCTTCCTCCTCCTCCTCCTCCTCCTCCTCCTCCTCCCCCTCCTCCTCCTCCTCCTCCTCCTCCTCCTCCTCCTCCTCCCCCTCCTCCTCTCCTCCTCCTCCTCCTCCTCCTCCTCCTCCTCCTCCTCCTCCTCCTCCTCCCCCCCTCCTGATTGCTGGTTACGGCTGGCCACGGGACCTCGCCTGTCCCCCGAATTGGTGTCTTGTCTTGTGCCCGACGCGGGCTCGATGCGGAATCGGAGCGGACTCGGCGCGGACTCGGCGGGGACTCGACACGGACCCGACGAGCCCAACATGGATTCGACACGGACTCGACGCGGACAGGGCCGCGACGGGACAGACAAGGCCCCCCGAGGATGAAACATAAGCCTGGTCTCGAGCCCGCCCGCGGGTGCTCGCAGCGAACTCGCTCAGGGGCCACGATAGGGGGGAGATGAATCGACCCCCAATCGCCCATTAGTCGCCGACAGGGGCCCGATAGCCCTAACCTGCCCAGGGAGGTGCGGACTCACTATCGGGGCCCCATCGCCGATCTATCGGCGATGCATCGCCGAGATTCCAATTCGATGCATCCCCCCCTCTGGGCCAGTCCCCCCCTGTCGTTGCCCCTCAAACGCTCGGGGGGGAGGGACTCCGAGGGGGACTCCGAGTGAGGCGTCTCGGGCTCGAGGCGCTCGAGGTCTTCGGCCGCCCTCGCCGCCCCTCGGCGGCTCTTGCCAGCCTCGGCGTGCCTTTTCCGGCGGCCGCGCCTCGCGCGCTCCGAGAGTGCCCGGATCCTCCCGAGCGGTCGCCGGAGAGCCGAGCTGTGGCCCGAACGCCCGGCGGGGGTGCATCGACCCCCAAGAAGTTGCCCATGGTTCCTCGCCGAGAGGGGCCCACTACTTGGCACCGCTCGGACGTATGCATTTTTTCTCGGCGAGAACCATCGAGGACCATCCTGGACCATCGAGCAAAAAAAAACATTAAAAAACATAAAAAACAAACAAAAAAAGAAAACGCCCGAAACCGAGAAACGCACGGGAAATGGACGTCCGAGCGACGGCAAGAATAGCACCAGCCCGCCCAGGAGCGTGCTGATTCGCTGTGTCGCGGGCCCGTCGCCAAGGCATCGGCGGCGCATCGCCGGGCTCAGCCCGACAGGCCCCCCGGAGCGGGTCCCCCCCTCACTCGGGCCGGACGAAAGGGCAGGATCTGGACGTGGGGGGTGACGAAATCTGTTGCATTCCGCTGGTTTCCGCCCCGCCGCGGGGCCCAGTCCTCGATGCGTGGGCGCCTCACGGCGCCAGGGGGCCCCAGGAAAGCCGGCTGCGTGAGCTGGTTCTCTGCCCTGCCCCCTGCCCTTTACTATCCTGCCATGTCGCCCCCCCCCCCCCCCCCCCCCCGGCTGACGTGCACCAGGGTGTTCTGGTGGGCAGGAGGAGGAGCAGGAGGAGGAGGAGGAGGAGGAGGAGGAGGAGGAGGAGGAGGAGGAGGAGGAGAGGAGGAGGAAGAGAAGAGGAGGAGGAGGAGGAGGAGGGAGGAGGAGGAAGACGGGAGGAGAAGGAGGAGGAGGAGGAGGAATGTTGCTGCCGAGCAGCAGCAGAGCGGGGGTCGGGCTGGCGCCTGTGGTGTGCGGGGGCGGCGGGGAGCGGGTCGGGGGTGGACGCGTCCGGATATCATTGGGGCTTCGTGGCCGGGAGTCGTGGCCACGCGCGAGTCGGGCGTCGCTCAATGTTATGTCTTGCCTGTCCCCCATACAGGGGGATGTTCGACGAAAAATAAAAGATAAGATACCCCAAAAATACCCCAAAAAGGTAAAAACATATTCAGCAAATAGTCCCCAGGCTATTTTTTGATTATTATTTGATCATGTTTGGGATGTTTTTTATTTGTCGTCGGAAATCCTCCTGTAGGGGGACAGGCCCGACTTAAGCTCAATGGGGGGACGGCAAATCGATGGGGGAGGAAAGAGTGCACTTTTAGGAACCCCAGAAGGCCCCTCTTCTGCAGCCGTCGCTGCCCCCCAATGTCCCCCCCCATCAGGCGACGCCCAAGCGGGGTTCGGGCTCGGACCGCGTGCGAAATTTCGCGTTCTGAAGTCTGTTTTTCCGGGTGTTGCTGGAAGTGCCCCTGGCCCAAGGTGCAGGAGGTTCAAGGAGGCCCCCAACGGTCTCCAGAGCACCCCTCACGAGGCCAAGAGGGCCCCAGGGGCTCCAAAGTGGAACGACAAAACTGAGGGTACCGTGGGCCGGGTGCACCTGTAGCAACCGCCGAATCTTTGTTGGTGAACAGCTTTGGTTTGCTTCTGTCAGTGTTCCCCACAGGAGGGGCGCGCGGATTCCCTCCCGGCGTCGCGTTCCAGGTCGTGGAGGCGAGCGTTTCTCAATGATGTTCCGGAGGTGTCAGCAGTCCCTGTTGCACCCTTCATGTAGATGTTGTGGTTGCACTTCCTTCCACCACCACGACACTGACGCCTGCACGATGGATAGTTGCTCGATGCCCCATTTCACATTTCACTGGCTTCAATGGTCGGATCTGCACCTGCAGCAGGCTTGCGCCGCGGTCACGTGGCGCCGACCCCAGCGCGGGCGTTCGAAGTTGACCGCCGCTACTTGACCATAATTGCCCGATATCGCACGATCTGCGCTGAGGATCGGGAAACCGCAACCGCTCAAGATGAAGCGATGCACGCGGTGTAAGAAACTAACGCCGACGTCATCGCGATGTGAGCTTGCCGTGTTGTCCCCCCCCCATCTGGCTTTCATTTCAGCACAGCCGGCACATCAAGTAATTATCATGGCGCCAACATCGCAGAGCGGATTTCGTGCGGAAAACAACGGGATGATCCCAGAGTGTCCTGGAGAATGTAGTTCCGGATTTCGACGTGAATTTCGTGCGGATTCTTTTCGGCCAGGAATGAAGACTACAAAAAACGTACTGGAAGCTCAGTTCGTTTTTCGCTCGCCGTTTCGGGGTTTTGTATTTACAGAAATCCACGCAAAAATCCGCTGCAGCACGTCCGCAAGGTCGGTGCAGTGACAAGTAACACTCGGCCTGCGAGCAGGTGCCCCACGGAAGTGCCTCATCTCCCGATGGCCCCAGGGACCCACAGGAGCCCCGTGGCACCTCATGGCCCCCAAATATCTCGACGTAGGATGTGCTTCAATAGCTCTTACGGCAAGACGTCTCAAGACGTCTCGTCCCAGACACCTGGCGCTCAATTTTATCGATGCGTGGACCCCCTGAGGTGTGGACCACTTCCCCAGGGCCAGTTTTTTTATCCTGAGTCGTTGTTCGACCGTCCTGGGGCCCGTTGAGGGCCCCCAGAGGCCGAAAATAGCCCAGAGTTGGCCGCTCCAATTTTTGCCGGAGCACCGAATCTCTGGGACCGCACGTGCCCGCTGTTTAGCGCGGGGTTCGCGTCCAGGTGGCTCCCTTCGCCGCGTTCGGGGGTCGGCCGCTGGTGAGGTGCGAGCTGGCGGGAGACGCCGGTGCCCGCCCCCGCCGCCAGGGGAGCGCGAGGGACTGGGACGGGGAGGAGCAGCGAGCGACGGCGGCGACAGGGGCGGGCACAGTCGGACCGAGGTGCAAGATCGAGGTCGGTTCGGGGAGGGTGCACTGATGTTCTTGGCATTTGTTGGAGGTGCGCGTGCATCATAGGGGGGAGAGCGCCCTCGAATGATCTTAGGGTTTGGGCAGTTTTGGCCAGCGGATGGTTCAACAGTCTTGAAGGCTTTTCTTCTGTCCTAGTTCCGAGTGAAGCCCAGGGCGGGTGCACTCCGTGCATCCAGGGACCCCGATCTCCCATCTTCGACGAAGCTCCCCGGCGAAGTACGCGTACGGCAGATTCGTGCCGTGTCGACACGACGGCGACCTGGCCGCTGGCGTTCCAGGTTGAACGCCGTCAGTGGCACAGAAGCGGCAAGTATGGAACGATTTGGCGATCGAAAAACCGCCGGTCGTTCAAGGTTGATCGGGCCGAACGAAAGGGGGGTATTGGGAAACGGGGGGGTACGAAATCTGCTGCATGCAGTTGGTTTCGGCCCCGCCGCCGGGCCCATTCCTCAATACATGGGCGCCTCACGGCGCCGGGAGGCGCCGGGAAAATCAGCCACGTGAACTGACTTGCTAACCCCCCCGTTGCTACCACCCCCTTCCGTCCAGCCCGAGTTGAACGATCCACACGTTGGCAGAAACCAATGCCGTGGCAGTCACGACACGAACCTGCCGTCCTGCTCCCCCCCCCCGGGGGGCAATCCGCCCCAGTTGCCTCCGCCGAGGGCGGGTGGGGGGAGAGGCGGAGGAGAGGCAAGAAGGAGAAGGGAGGGGGCAGGGGCGAGGGCGGTGCCAGCGGCGAGTCGTCGGCGAGGACGGGGCCGAGGAGGGTGCCGTGGGGACGCGGAGGAGAAGGAGGCCGAGGAGGAGGGGGAGGAGGAGCAGGAGGAGGAGGGGGGGGAGGGGCAGCAGGAGAGCAGCAGGAAGGGGGGGGGGGGCGGAGGGGGAGGGGGGATCGGCAGCCACTGGAAAATGGTCGGGAGGACGAGCAGCGGCTGCAGCAGGAGGAATGCCAGGAGCCGGGGGAGTACCGCGTCGCTCCCGAGCCAGGAGGGCCCAGGAGCAGGGTGCAGGCGCGAGGAACGTTCGCTCCACCTTCTCCCTTCGGCACCCCGACTGGGCGAGCCCGCTGCGGAGTCGAGCATGCCGACGAAACTCCATAGCTGAAGGATCTCTCGTAGGCGCATGTCGCTACCTGGTCCCTCCGCTGGACTTTTAGCCTGTGGTGCGCAAGCGCCCCTTGTT